CGACCCTGTATAGGGTTTCCAAGGAACGGCTGATGAGCCTGGACACACGGCAGCCACACCAGTACATAGAGGCCCTATTTAAAGATCAAAACCCTCAGTTTATAAAAGCGCAAATCGATAAAGCATAGATTGTGCGTATAAATGGGATTTTTTTTTCCCTTAGACAGGTGCATCAGTAAGTAGCTGAAATTCCAGGGGTCTTTAATGTAGATGTTGGACTCTAGGTAGTTAAAGGGCTGGTCATAGAGACTACAGATTCAGCTTAACATAAGAAAGCATTCTGTGTCCAGTAGAGTCCTCCGGCAGTGGAACATCCTGCCCTGGGAAGCCCTCAGAGTTCCAGGTGGAGGAGTTGACTCAGGGCCTGTAGCTGAGAGGAATCCAGTGGCAGAGAAAGCTAGCCCCCCTCCCCAGCCCTCTCTTTGCCTAAGTCCTGTGATCCTAGGAACCAGCCAGCCCTCCCTTCCATTCCTTGTGGCCCATTGGGAATTTCAAGTCCCTCAAGTGGAAAATTTGCTTTGCCTGGGCGGCTGGGCGTGGAGGCTGCTATTCATTTGGGTGTTTTTCTGTGTCGCCAGCTGACACAAGCTGTTACTATAAATGGGAGGGAGCATCCAATGAATATACCAGAGAAAAGACGATGTTGAAAAAAAATTAGAAATAAAGAGTGGTTGTTGTTGTTGTTAACTGCCTTCGAGTCCATTGCAACTGATAGCGATTCTGTATAAGGTTTCCAAGGAGCGGCTGGTGAGCTTAAACTGCTGACCTTGTGATTCAGACCAACCTTGCAGCCTAGCGTATTAACCCACAACACCATACCCAGACTCCAAAGGGTTTGATGAAAACGAAATAATCTTTGCAATACGTAAGCAAACCACTGTGCCACCAGAAAGATTCAAACGGTGACTTCTAGTGTTTTAGGTTGGAATTTATTTTATTCATAGATACTGACTAAACTGGGTATCTTTTCATCACGTTGCCTTCAGTGGTGACATTTCTGGAGGATGTTCTTGCCCTGTGGGAATCACAAAATAACCAGGTCTGTAGAATTTTGCAAAGGGAAGGGGAATCTAGGCAGTAGTTTCCACTCTAGAGAGAAAAGAGTAGCTGGCTGGCTTGCCATTCCTTTTTGGCATGTAGCCTACAGCCAGGAGGGTAATCTTTGATAAGGTAAGTAACCCTTTAGTGATGGCAGAACTGTTTTCCAAGCTCGGAATTAAGGTTTAGAATAAATGTGGATTGTAAATTCAAGGTGGGGGAACCTCAGAAGTGTTGGATACCCTATTGTAAACATTTTGCCCCCCATCCCATTTCCAGTTAAACTGAGATGGAAGAGCGGAAACAAAGTTACTGGGTCCAGCAGCCCCTGTTGGGATTCAAATTCACAGTCCCTAGGAGGACACATTGAGCTGGGCACGGCTTTGTAAGGGGAACAAGGCCGCTTTCAAGAGAGCTGCTTGAACCAAAGCTTTTGGGGTTTGACAATGACTGTGAAATTCTGTCTCTCCTTGTTCTGTTTCATGCTGGCACCGGGCAGACTGTGGGAACTACTGCCTCAATAGTAAGTACACTAAGTCCTCTGAGAGCTGATGAAAATGCTCTGGGCTGCTGCCAGGGCTGGAGAATGGGAACACACCAACCTAGGGGAAGGCATCTGCCTTCCAACACTCCAGCCTCAGAAACAATGGTCTCTTCGTTGGACCATGGGTAGGGCCTGAACTGGGGGGGCTTGGCGTAGGCAACTGGAGCCGCTCAGCCTTTCTGTGCAGAGTTGACATGTGACAAGCATGTCCGAACCTTTTAAAGAAGTCCAGAGGAACCTTGCCTGTTGGCCGCAGGCCCATGACCATGGCCAACAGCAGCAGGGATGTGCCCTGGCTGTGCCTCTCACCCTGGCTGTGAGCCAGACCCGGCAGGGGCACCTTGGTTATGGTTGGCTCTGAGGAGGACACCTACTCAACTTGGATATTCTCTCTTCTTCCTCCTCTCTCAACACAAATGTCTTGGAACCAGGGCCTACCACACCAGTCAAGAGGTCCCTTTCACGCCAGTCAAGAGGTCCCTTTTACCTCCATCGGTTTGTTCCTACCTTTTATTGTTGTTGTTAGGTGCTGTTGAGTTGGTTCCAACTCATAGTGACCCTAGAACAACAGAATGAAAAACATTGCCCAGTAGTCCCATGCCACCCTCCCTCTCATTGCTAGGTTTGAGTCCCTTGTCGCAGCCGTTGTGTGCTCTTGTTTTGTTTTTTAATTAACTTTTACGTTCTTTAGTATTTCTATTTTATTTTGCTCTTATTTTCTTTCTTTTAATTTTTATTCAGCCATTCACTTATTTATCTCTTTATTCTGGTTGTTGTTGTTGTTAAGTGTGCTATCAAGTCATTTCCAACTCACAGAGACACTGTATGTCAGTTCTGACTCATAGCAACCCCATATAGTGTCTCCAAGGCTGTAAGTCTTTGCAGGAACAGAAAGTCTCATCTTGCTCTGGTGGAGTGGCTGATGGACTCAAACTGCCAGCCTCGTGGTTCCCAGTCCATTGCTTTTCCCTCCTCCAATTTTGCACTCTCATTTCCCTGTGCAACTTCCATTTCCTCTGAAATTTCTAGTAGAACTCCTCTGGATTCCTTCTCTTGCCTCCTCTTGGATTCCCCAGCTTTCTGGGCATTTCCCTTCTGTATTCCTTGTCAGCAGGCCTGTGTTCCTCTACCAGACTTTTAAGATAGAAGGAGAAGTCAAAAAGCATTTCTACTATGGGTGTAGTTTATACATGCACCAGTTTATTCCAAACAAAATGGGTTTTAACATGTCTGTGATCCGTAGATGGCTGCAGACAAGCTTTTTTCAGTGATACGTATCTCTTAGGCTTGAGAAGGTGCCTCTCCCAAAACTGTCCAATCAAAACAGTGTCTTCTGAGGGTATCTGTGGAGCCAATTCAATTCAAAGCAGAGAGGTCAGTTCAAAAGATGTTGGTATTTGTTGTTGTTGTTGTTGTTGTTGTTGTTAAGTGCCAGCAAGTCGGTTCCCACTCTAAGTAACCCTATATAAGGTTTCCAAGGATCAGCTGGTGAGTATGAACTGCCAACCTTATAGGTCAAACCAACCTGTGGTTCAGTGCGTAGACTATAGAGCCACACCGGGACTCGGGAATTTCTTGGGATCACCTCAAAAGGGTAATCTTTACAGATTGTCTCAAAGGACACAGGAAAATCGTGGGGGTGTATTAAGAAGTTTAAGAATACTGAAAACTGTAATAATAAGAAAAAGGCCAGGAAAGTTAAGCAGAGACATTTTTTTTTTCCATCATGACAATGTGTTTGCTCATTTTTTGAGGGCAATAGGGGTTGTCCTATGAGACTGTTGTTGAGAAACCTTACTCCAACCACCCTACAGACCCGATCTTACTCTTTCAGACTTCTTTTTTATCTCAAAACTCAAAAGAATATTTAAAAGAAACATAATATGAGTCCTTTGAGGAGGCCCAAACATTTTATCATGGTGCAAATTGAAGAATACAGAATTCTTCAGGGAAAGGTTGCTGTTCAGTGCTGTTGAGTTGGTTTTGACTCATAATGACCCTGCATAGGGTTTCTGAGGAGCAGCTGGTAAGTTTGAACTACAGACCTTGGGGTTCACAGTCTAGTGTTGATCCTATGGTGCCACACCAACAGGGAAGGAAGGGGTAAAGAGATGGAAACACCACTTTCAGAAATGTATAGATGGCAGATATGTCAGGAAAGGTTTAGACATAATTTTAGACATGCTGTCAGGAGTCCTGGTATGACATAGGTAAGCATAGGACTGCTAACCAAAAGGCTGGCAGTTCAAACCCTCCAGCTGTTCCTTAGAAACCCTATGCAGACACACAACAACAACAATGGTCAGGAGAGACCAGTCCCTGGAAAAGGAGTGGGTTCGAGATAAAGAGGAAGACCCTAACTGAGATGGATCGGCACAGTGGCGGCACCAATGGGTTCAAACATATCAGCAATTGTGAAGATGGCACAGGATGGGGCGGTGTTTTGTTCTGTTGTACACAGAGTTGCTATGAGTGGGAACCAATTCAATGGCACGTTGAAAAATCAAGAACATGATTTTTACAATACTTTTTTTTACTTACCCTGGTACTAGAACCTTCCATCTCCATCCCTAATCAGTCCTGGTAGGCAGTCCAGGGCTGTGCTGCTCCATCAAGAAATAAAGCAATTTCTCTGCCCTGACTTTTTTTTTTTTAAAAAAAGCTGTTGGGAGCATAGGAACTTGAGCTTAGGGACTTGCGTCCATGGGTTTGCTGTTAGTAGAAATCCTCAAAACTTACCCCAATTTGTGCCACATTTACTTAGCCTATTCCTTGGCTAACTGTACATGGAAGAGTAATGTCTTAGAAGAGAGCATGAAGAGAAATTGGAAAGAAGGAACTATCTTTCTAAAGTACTGAAATGTAAGGAATGGGTCAGGAGAGCTGAGCTGGTCCGTAGTCTATGTATGGCTCTCTTAGCTATGTGATCGTAGGAGAATCCTTGATGGTTTTTATGTCTTGAGTTTCTCTTTTATAAAATGGAAATAAACAACTCTCCCCCATCCCATACTTCCTATGACTTCGTAAGATTTTGGTGAAGATCTTGTGAACTATCACACCAGATGGTGATTTGAAAAAGCAGGAGATAGAATTTCATCCCTGACACTTCACTGATCTATTGAGGTCATTGTTGAAGGGACTCTGGGGCAGAATGGTTTCAAATAAAGAAACCCTGGTGGGCCTGGCTGGGATTGCTTGCTCTTCCTTCCTTGGAGAACATCTAGGGTTACCCCCAGATGTTCCCTGTATGGTCTAAGACCTGTTCTTTGGCTTCCAAGAATAATTGGAAGCAGTTCACGGTTCACCATATTGCCAGACCTTCTCAGGAGAGCTGAGGCCATTAGCAGTGGGCCGTCAGCCCTCAGGGAGGAAATGGCAGGGGCACTAACTCCGTCTGTGAAGCTGAGCAGCTCTGTACCTGACCAAGTATGTGTGCAGCCAAATGAAAGGGGCTGACAAGTTGGGAAATGGCCTATTCCCAGGACCTGATTTTCTCTGTATTGTCCTTTCATATGGTTGAAGTCTGGGGTCAAGAGAGTCACACACCATGTAACCTCCCTTTTCTATTCTGTCCCAGCTATTACAGAAGCCATTGAGATCCCACAGTTTACGGGCCGAAGTTACCTGACATATGACAACCCAGATATCCTCAAAAGGTAATAAGCTGCAACAGGCGCTGTCTGCATCTCCCCAGGGCTACATTTCTCAATCCTTCTGAGGACTTGTTCTTATTTTACATGCCAGAAGATCATTCTAAAAGGAGGCACTGGAGTCACGGCTTCAAGGAGAAAAAAAATCATGCAAAATAAACATAGAAAATAGAACAAAACAAAAACAAACAAGAAAGGCAGCCTTTCAAATAAGCCTGTTGTAAACCATTTAAACCTTTTCTGGTCACAGGGCCTGGGGAGATGGGTGTGACCAGCCCCCTGGGTTCCTACACTTCAACTGAACACTCATGAAGCCAATATTATTAGTGGGATTCTCTGAGCAGGGCTCTGTGAATCAGAGCACAAGGGTTCAGCGGGGTTCCCTGAGTGGCCCAGCGGGTCCCTTCCCTGTTAGGCCATTTCTTGCGTACGAATGGCATGGCAGAGGCATCTGAGCTCCTCTAACTTCATAAGGGGGAAAGAGAATCACCATCAGCATCAACCCAAAGCTGGTTCTTATGGGCGGAGGTCAGGCATACGTCCTCTCTCCAACTCTTTTTACCAATTCTGACAGCAAACGTTCCTCCCACTGTGCTCCACTTCTCTGCTGGGTTTGAGAATCATTGCAATAGTCACATAGAACTCACAGACCATAGTCACAGTTGGGGCTTATTAGAGAAGTAATAGGTTACAGTTCAAGTTTAGAAATGTTCAAGACACAGTTCTTAAATCAGATTAAGGCAGGTCTCTCTCTGGTCCTTGACCTCAGCCTTGTCTCTACCCTGATTGCACAAGTGTTACAAACTTCTTTTAACTCTGCCAGTAAGTGCTCACAGGTACTCCACTCTGCCAGCAAGACTCCTGCCCATAGACACTGAGCTCTCTCTCTGTGAGAGTCAG